GTGTGCCCCAGAACAAGGGTCAGGCAGCTGAGACGGCACCCCTCACATGCTATAGAGCACCAGGTCTTCTGTATGACTTGTACGCCATGGGGTCCCACCTGACCTCAGCTAATGACGGGTCACAGGGATGTCTCCAAAGCTGCAGGAGGGCACAGGCAGGGGATCTGGTTTACCATTTTCCAACCAAGCTGCCCATAAATGAAGCCTGAAGCTTCCAACCTGTGGGCTGAGATGCCAGCCAGTGGCATCCACCAAGCGTTGCTGGGGATCTTGGAGAGATCCATACCACATCACTCAGTAGGACACTGACCTTCAACTAGTCCCACAGAAGCAGTCACAGAGTTGACAAGTGTCCATGAGACACCAGCAAGGGCACAGAGGTGCAAACAGAAAGCACCCCACCCACTCTTACCTTGACTTGCCAGAATCCAAAGACTTGCTCACAGGAGGCAGGATATATGCAAGTTTGTATGCATGCATGCATGTGTGTGCATGTGTGTACCTTCTAGATAAATTGGTCTAGCCTAGTCACCTTTGATATTTAAAAGTTTCTCTGATCCTTCATTATCCAGGGCAGAAAAACAAACACCAGGCTGCTTCCCTCCCTCCGAGACTCTTAGAAAGCCAGAGTGAGGCTGAGGGAGTCAGCAGATTAGACCCAATTTGCTGCTTACAATCAAAGCCCTAATTAGTTGATTGCATAAAAGAAGAGAGAATATTCTGATCACAGTATTGTTTTATTAGAAATATAGAGCTGAAGTTTGAGTAAAATTGATAAAATATGCGTGTCATTCCACACACCCGGATGCTGTTAGATTTTATATGGAGAGGCTTGTTAAGGCCAATCATCATCCATAGCAGTGCTGCTATCACCATCAGCACCATAACTATCACCACCATTACAACCATCACTCTCACTACCGTCATCTCCATCACCACCATCACAACCATCATCACCATCATCACTATCACCATCACCATCATTACAACCATCATGCTCACCACCATCATCACCACCATCACCCTCACCACCATCACCACCACTGCAACCATCATCACCATCACCATCACCCATTACAACCACCACTCTCACCACCACCACCATCACCATGACCACCATCACAATCAGCACCATCACCATCACCCATTACAACCACCACTCTCACCACCACCACCAATACAACCATCACCACCATCACCATCATTTTTGCCATCATCGTCACAATTACCTCCACCATCCATCATCATCAATATCTTCACCACTACCTCAACAGCCACTGTTTTCTGAGCACATATTATGTACAGAGTGTAGCACATGTGTGCTTCCTATCGCAGGCCTCTTGAGAATGCTGTGAGTTAGGGAAGTACCCACTCATTACAGAGGAGGAAACACAGGATCCATGATGGTGAGTTACCTCCAACAGCAAATCTGGGTAACGGTGTAGATTCAGTGGCCTCAGACCACTCAGCCTTCCTGCATCATGAAACTGTTGCTTAACTTCATGAAGCCTGTCCTGGTTCACTGACACTTTTGTCCCATCCCAAGGACAGTCCTCATGTGCCCTGTATATTCTACTTAACAGGCCAGAGTGGCTTCTGTCATCTGTATCTGAGCCTAGCACAAGCGCACACATAGCATGTGTGTAGGAAAGGGGACATGGTGGTGGGTAATGGGGTACAGGACACTGGTAAGTACAATGTGCAATGTGTGCTGGGCAGAGGCCAGGATGCGCTCTCCCCCTGGACAGTCTTCCACTCACACCTGCATGATGCACGAAGTAGTACCTTCCTTGGAACTGCCTTGACATAGGCTTGGACCAGCTCCTTTTACACATCTCAAAGATGGGCCAGCAAGCAGGGAGGAGAGGAAAGACCACCCCAGAAGCCCAGGAAGGCACGAAACTGAGGAGGACAGAGCCTAGAATACTCATGGATGTTCCAGATGGACATGGTGGCCATAGAGCCTACAATCACAGAGCCTGCAGTTAAAACCCGAGTTCCCCACTCTGGCGTGTCTCCACAGGCTGCAGAACAGGATATCCAGCCTGCAGGTAGGCCAGCAGCAGGTTGCCCATAATGACCCAGGTCTCTGACTAACGGACAGCCTTCTGCACATCCAAGGAAATCTCTGATCCTGGAAACAGGTGGGGTGGCCTCCTATCCCAAGACTGGGAAAACTACCCACAGGCCACAACGGCCCACTGGCTGTTTTACAAGTAAGGTTTGCTATACTCTTTCATTGACATATTGATGATGGCTGCTTCTGCACTATGAACAGAGCTGAATAGTTCTGACAGGGCCCACATGGTCTTTTGCAGAAAATAGGCAGCTAATGCCTATTCTGAGGCAATGGGGTAGGGCTTTCCTGAGAGCCTTGGCCAGCTGGGGGCTTTTCTGGAGCCAGAAAAATGAGGAGGGAGGACAGATAGGGGGCTTTGCAGTGTGACTGGCCCCACAAAGACCTGAGAACACAAACTGTCAAAATGCTTTCACCTCTTCCAATTAAAAAACAAAAAAACCAAACAGCATTTTCAGAAAAGACCATCTTTTCTACAATGACATCAAGTAAAGAAAACATCATTTCTTACTATTTTATGATAAAATATGGTTGGAATATACTGGAAAAATTAAGGAGCGTTTTCCCATCTAAGGCAGTAATTAAGAAGCAGCTGTTGGTGCAGATGTGCTGACAGCCACAGCTAAGCCTCATGGTGGGTGTTTCTAAGGCAGCTGAGCAAGTCCCTCTGCTCACTGTTATCCCTACCTCCTCATACGCGCCATGCCAGAAACAGCACCGTGTGCAAATCACATGTGTGCAAATCACGTGCTCACCACAAGAGGCAAGAGCACTTCAAAATACTTCTCAAAATGCACAGAAATGCCCCGCTAAACCTATCCAGCCTCACTGTTCTCCTGTGCCAGGGGTGGGATAGACCACGAATGACGGTAGTTTATGTTCCCTAAGAAGCTGGGGTAAGAGGGGAATGTCACAGAGAACACAGGTGAGGTCTGGTTCTGTGCATTCCTCCCTGGTTATGTCTCACAAAGGACTGCAGAGCAGGAAACTCATAAACTCTCTCAAGGAGTCATAAGGGAAAGCTTGACTGGATATAGGATGTCTGTCTTAGGTCTTGAAAGATGCACAGGACATTTCAAAAACAAAGAATGCAGGAAGGTTTTATAGCTAGAAGCAAATGGGACTCAGAGTGGCCAGGGCTGGGAGCAGACCTGGGTGGGTCACAACGAGAGACAGGATGGGCTAAGGATTTGGAATGGGACAAGAACACTGGCGGCCAACAGAGGGTGGACCCTGGGCTCTCTAGTAGAGCCCTTCTGCTCCTCTCAGAGGTACCTGTCCCCACCCCACTCTGCTGGGCCACCAGGTGTAGAATCTCCCCCTCACTACCCTTGAGAACAGGGCTTCTTGAACTCAGCAAAAAAACAGGAAGGAGGAACAGAAGAGACCTCCGGAGGCATTGGCCTGGATTGGCCTGATCTTGAGCACCAAAGACAAAGTCCCCTTAAAGTAGTCCCTGCCACTCACCTGTGTCCCTGAGCCTGAGCCTTTTCAGGTCTCCTGTGGGACAGCAGCTCAGTTGTGAACCTTCCCTTCCCTTGCCCTGACCAGTACACCCATGGTGCAGGATGCTTCTTATCTATTCTCTAAGTTTCCCTACTACAGAAAGAAGCAACCCCATGAGCCTCCATGCCTCCCAAACAGGCCTGTCACCCACTGTCCTTGGCTCTCACAGTTGGTCTGACACAGGACACCATGTGCATCGTCAGATCTGTTCATCTCAAGGCCCAGCTCCCAGGCCATGCCCAGGAGGGACAGTGGGGTCTTAAACAGACATGTGCACACCCACATTCACAGCAGCAGCAGCCACTATGGACCAAAAGGAAGATGCCACCCAACTGTCCCTTCATGAAATGGTGGTGTCTTAGTCAATTCTCATGGTCATGACACAACTCCTGACACCTACAACTTAAAGAAGGAAAGGTCAGTTTCAGCTCACAGTTTGTAGAAGTTTTAGTCCATGGTCCACTGGCTCCAAGCAGGATGATATAGCAGAGGGGGGTTGCTCACAGCATGGTGGACAGGAAGCAGATGGAGGCCAAGGAAGAAGCCAGGGAAGGAGAGACACCCTTCTAGGTCCCACCCAGTGGCCCGCCTCTTCTGACATTTATCTCTCTTTGACTGGCAGGCAAGTCAGCTGTGAGCCCCCATCATCCAATTGCCTTTCAAACCCTGCCTATGATTGCACCAGGATTTGAGGGGACAGCTTGACCTAAACCACAGTGGACAGATAAACCAGACAGGGTCCATTACACAGAGTATCAGTATGCAGCCTTAAACACAGGGCACTCTGACACACACTATGGCGTGTGGGACCTCAAGGACACTGCTGAGCACAGCCAGCCAGGCACAGAGACACACATACAGAATTCCACTCTTAGCAGGTTCCCAGAGTCCTCAAATCCACAGCAACAAGAATAGGATGGAGGTGCCCGGGTCTGGAGAAGGGATAGAATCAGTGCTTAATGGGAACAGAATTTCAATTTGCAGGAATGAGAAAGTTCCAGAGATGGGAGGAGGTTCCAGAGATGCCCCTGAGCTTTGCACCTAAAATGATTACGTGAGATTTTTTGTTAGGTATATTTCACCAAAACTGAAACTAAAGTACACGGGGGTGGCATCATTGTGAGGCTTGGGGACTAAGCACAGCTGGTACCTCAGGTGTGGGAGGGGATGAGCACCCTGCTCTGCCCCGCTTTCTGCAGGGCCAGCAGGCACCCAGGCAAGCAGGCCTTACCTGAGCCTGGCCCCGCAGTACCCAAGGTGACCTAGGCCTCCTCCTGCTTCTCCAGAGCACTGCATCTTCTTCTGTGCCACAGGCCATGGGTCCTACATAGGCAGTAGGGATGGATACCTGGGACACTCCTTCCAGGCCCTCATCCAGGTGCCCCATGCTTTGCATAAAGGGTCGAACGTCACTGACCTGGTTGTAGAGGGCACAGATGTGCAGGGCCGTGTTCCCCGAGGCATTCTGGGCGCCCATGTCTGCGCCGTAGAAGAGGAGGTGCTCTAGGTGCTGCACGTGTCCGTACCTGCAGGCCTGAGACACAGAGAGGGCTCTGAGCAGGGTGAACACCTCTGGTCTAGCTGTGCACATGCAACCGCCTAAACCCACATGCAGGCACCAGGCTCCTGCAGACCACGCCCACCCAGCAGGACCCAGGTAAACTGGCAGGCACCAGGCTCCTGCAGACCACGCCCACCCAGCAGGACCCAGGTACACTGGCTGCCCCACCCCGAGGCTCCAGCCCAACTGCTCATGACTAGTGCAGGGACATGTGCTTGGTTGGTTAGACAGGGTTTCCACGAAAGGTCCCCAATCTTCCTTCTCTGTAAATCCAGGGGTCCAGAGAAACACAGATCATTCTTCTGACCCCAGTGCCCAGCTCCATACAATGCAGACCAGAGCACTTAGCCTGCCTCGTGTCCCAAGCTCCAGCGCAGAGGACAAACCCACAGCCCTCATCTTGGGCTGCGTCCAGAGGAAGAACCCCTCCTGTCCTTCTGTGTGCAAAGGATGGCCCTGTGATTGCTTCAAATATAACCCAGCCTTCGTGTAGGTAGCAGCAGCCCCGTGACGTGATCTGCTCCTCTGAGCCTGAGTGAATGATAAACCATCCAGGGAGTCCAATAGACTGGACTCAAACCTGGCTTTCCATTCACCAGGGCTCTGACCTCAGCTGTAAATAGAAACAATACTCCCCATGCAGGTTTGCATGAGAATTACATGGGGCATGGACCCCAAAGGCCTCGGATGCATGGGCATCTTATTGGGACCCAGAAAACAGTATGGCCCCTTCCCACTCCAGCTTGTAGGGGTAGGAAATCCCTGAGCAGGTAGCCAGGGCACCTCTGTCCAAAACAAACTGCCCCATGCTCAGAGTGGTGGCTCAGCAGAGGGAGAAATATGTATCCTGACCCAAACCTTCCCGCCCTAGAAATCAGCGGGTTGATCATACCAAGGACAGCAATGTGGGTGGTGATAGCATTGGCCCCCAATAAGCACAGACCATCAGTGACCACTTGGTTTTCTTTTTCGGGAGGGGGGACTGGGAATCAAACTCTGGACCTTGCACTGTGACACTGAGCTATGTTCCCAGCCTGACCATGTGTTTCTGATCACTGAGACAGATGAAGATCACCTTTGCAAGGTTTACCAGAAAGAGCTACATCTCAACAGCTAACAGAAAAGGCAATAGGGAAGATATTGAGAATATTCATCGGATGAGCTTTAAAATCAAGTGAAATTAAATAAAGCCATTTACAGGTACTGGGTCCCACTGTTGGTGCTGCTGCCCCTGCCCAGCCCACGGCCCAGCTCTGTACAGAGCCTGGGTGGCTGCTGCCTGCACCATCAGTGAGGGCAGGGAAGGCCCAGCTCAGTCCTGCAGATGGGGCTGTCAGTCCATCATCCCAGGCTCAGTTCAGGGACCGTGGGACCCGGAGGGCCTCAAGTCCCGAGGCAGGAACATCTGGCAGAACTGCAGGACAATTACCCACCTGGGGCTGCTGAGGCCATGAGCATGGAAGGGAAGAAGTGGGAAGAGGAAAAGAGGAGAGGAAGGAAGGATAGAGGAGAGGAAGGAAGGATGAGGGAGAGACACACAGCTAAGCCCGGTAATATACTGGGGTCCCTCTGGGCCACACTATCCCTCAACTTTCTAGAGTTGAATCCCCCACTCCCTCCCCACCCTGGAAATTTGTTCCCTAAATTGAAGAAACCATCTGCCTAATCGGCTCTCCCCGAAGGACTCCTAGGAGCAACACTGTTACAGCTTAATTTAATTGCTCTGTAGTCAATAAAGAAGAGAACTATGTTACCATAAACACACTGAGCAATTAATCCAGGCTCATCATTCCCCTTCCCCCAGTTAATTAGGACTTAGGAGGTTGCACATTACATCGGTGGGATCAAGTCACCGACTCTTTGCTGAGGGCCAGTGTGGAGTCAATGCAAAGAGACAAGGTAGTGACAGTAACCTGAGCAGGCAGTTTGAAATGTACGTCCCCAAGGACATCTCTTGGGTTTTTTTTTTTTTTGCATGCTTGCTTTTGATGAGAATTAATGGCAATGCAATAAATTAAATTTAAACCTCTATGATTTTGAGCACCTCTCATATATTCTGAACGATCTTTACCACTAACTGTTTTTAAAGGGCCATCTTTGCTTTTCTGTTGCTTTTTAACCCTCAGTTTTTAAAGTGGGGTGACTGCAGGTTGAAGGACAAGGAGCCAGGAGGGTGTAGAGGGCTGAGGGGACCCGGGCAAGCTGAGGCCACGGGAGGAGCAAACAGCAAGACAGGAAAGTGAGGGCTGGGCTCACTCTGTGGAAGACAGAAGACAAAAACAGCTCAGGGTAATGTGGGAATGTACCCTGCAGCATTGGCTTGGGGTGGGGGAAATGGACCCAGGGTTCTTGATACAGAGAGAAACAAAACTCAAAGTTCATGCAGCTGGCCATCAGCATCCTGAGGTTCCTTGTCCGTGGATTCAACCAACCACAGATGGAAAATATTTTTTAAAAAATGCACTGAATACATGTAATATTTCTTATTCATATTCCCTAAACAATACACTGTGACAACTGTTTCCATAGCATCTGTGTTGTCCTGGGTGTTATCCATAACCTAGGGCTGGGTTAAGCTACACAGGAGGATGCACATAGGTTAGACACAGACACTATGCCATTTGTGTCAGGGACTTGAGTGCCATGGATTGTGGTGTCCGTGTGATCCAGGAGGGGATGCCCTGCAGACACCCAGGGACGGCTGTACAGACATATCTACACGTCTAACTCTGGCTCCTGAGACTGTTTGGAGCCAGCAGCAGCCCTGTGACACAGAGCACACCTGCCACCTCATCTCACTTTCTGGATATCCCCCCCCCCCGAGAAAGGACCCAGGGTTTCCAGGGGAAGCAGCTGGTCTCAGGGCTAAGATAAGAAAAGAACAAAAGCAGCCTGGGATATCTTCATGCATCAAAGATGTGCCCTCACCGTGAAGACTTATTAGTTAAAATAGCGGGAAGAATATTCTGGAAACTCGCAGGCATCACTGGATCAAGTGATGAGTAGGAATATCACTGGTAACAGGGAAGTGGCCATCAGGGACCATGTGACAGGAAGCAGCGCCAAGACACAGCAATCAGCTCCACAATACACTGGCCACAACGCACCCCCTGGATCCCACCACAAGGCCACATCAGACACCAAGACTGAAGACGGTCTACAGTGACCGCCCTGCAGTCACCACAAGGGACCAGGCAGGAGGGTACGGGAGGAGCCAACAGCAAGACAGGAAAGTGAGGGCTGGGGACAGGGGAAGGTGCTCTCCCAGAGTAAGGGTCGGAGGGGACTCCAGGGGGATCCTCTAGCCATAAGGGACACCACAAGGACAACTGGTAAACTCAGATGTGGCCCCCAAGGGAAGGGGGTGTGGAGTTCTCTGTGCTATCATGGCAGATCATCTCAAAGCTTGGAAATGGACACAGTCATTTACAACTCAAAAAAGAACGTGCTACCTGCTTGACACAAAGATATGAGAAGCTACCGAAGGGTTAAAGCAAGAAATGTGTCCTCTCAGAGGCAAGCAGGGCAGTCTCTGGTCAGTGGAGACAGAGAGGTCAGACAGCATCCAACAAGTAAGGTGGAACGCTGCCTTCGCCCTCAGCATCCTTCCGTTTCCCAGGGTGCTCTGTGGATAATTGGTGGATAGGAGCTCCAGCATCCCTTGCCACCTAGCATCCGGAGGCGGGGGCTGTGCATGTGTATGGAGACGCTCCCCGCAGCTTCCGGGTTCACCCCAGCTAAGCCTGGCAACCCACTCACCGCTCGCTAACCACAGACTGGAAGCAAATCAGGGAACAGGACAGACCTTCCTTTAAGCGCTTTACTGCCACCTGCTGGGCATGTAGGATAAATCACCACACCTAAAATTACAGCAGGGGGACAGCGCCTCCTAGGGGTGTGCAATGTCCAGCACATGCCACCAGAGTGGCACAGAGTTCACTGCAGGGCCCCACAGGGGACAACAAACATGTGTGCACCAGAGCTCACCTGCTTCCACCTTGCTCTATGCCCCAGCATAGAACTGAATCCAAACACACAGGCATGGCTCCTGCAATGCAGGCTTCATTTACAACCTGCAGATATCGTGACCCAACAGGACACAAATTTCAAACCTCAGTCTTGATGGGTAAGGAAACGGGTGCTGTTGGCACAGAAAACTCTTGTCCTCACCCCTACAAACATGTTTAGGTTGGCCGGAGCCACCAGCCATTCCATAGCCCCACACTTCTTGCCAGCCCCATAGCAGGTGGACACTGAGGTCCCCAGAGTGGGGAAGCCACGCCAGCACATGGGCTGTGGCACAAACCAGACAGTGGTAGTTCCGTCCTTACCAATAGTATGCACTAAACAGTGTCCCCTCGACATTTATGCTGAAGTCCTAGCCTCAGTATGTGACTGCAGTTCCTGGAGACAGGACTTTTTAACAAGTGATTAAGGACATGGAATGGGGGCACATGCCTGTAATGTCAGCTAGTCAAGGAGGCTGAGATAGGAGGATGACAAGTCTGAGACCAGGCTGTGCAAATTAGCAAGATCCTGTATCAAAATAAAACATCGGTATCAAAATAAAACGTCAGTTGGGGATGTAGTTTTGTGTCAGCTTTGCATTGAATCCTGGTACTAGGGGGAAAAATGTTTAAGGTAAATGAGGTCATCCGAGTGGGTCCTAATCCTATAGGGCTACAATCTCAAGAGAAGCACATATCATAGAGGTTCCTGGTGGTTTAAAAAAACAGCAGGGGGAAATCACTTTCCCAGTGATGAATAGAAACCAAACACCAGAGGGCAGCCCACACTGGCACCTCAGCTGAGCTGAGCTCGAAGGGATGTAGGACACAAGGACCCTGGCTAGTGCCTCAAGTCTGAAGGCTATCAGATGCCCTGGGCTAAGGGGCTGGATGAGGGCAGACACAAACTCAGAAATGCTCTGGATCTAAGCCTACGACCTCAGAGATGAACTCTGCACTTGGGGGACCAGAAATCATAGCCAAGAGCGAGGTCCATTTTGACACCAGGGTCCCCACCACCTACAGAAGAGCCATCACATGCTGTAACTGAAGGCGACCAGGCCTGTGAGTGTGGTATCACTGCTGCTGAAGAGAGGCCAGCTTGGCTGAGGAAGAGGGCAGGAGGCCAACTCTGGGAGGGGCCAGGAGTCTCGAGGATGGTGACAGGGAGAGATGCTCAGGCCTGGGAGAGGATGGGCCTGGAATCACGATCCTTTCTTTTTTTTCTGAGTTCTTGGTGCTTTAGCCCTGGAGGAACTACCCTCACCCACACCTCCACCTCAGGGCCACCAGATTCCTAGACAAGGCTGGCCTTTCATAGGGAAATGCTTGGGGCAGGGCCTGTACCCCCACGATCAGCTCCCACACTCTGGTACCACCCTGCCCTCAACACCTCAAGGCAGGAGCCAGGCAACCAGAGCCCTGAAGCCATTCAAGCCGGTGGATCCTAGGCTGCTCCTGTCTCAGCCCCTCCCTTCCCAGAAAATCACCAGGAAAGCACCTCCTGCCCACCTGACTCCCTTCTGTATTCCCTCTGCCCCCTGGGCCCTCAGGCACAGTGCCCTCTCCTCTGGGGACCTGTGAGACACAAGCCGTCTGCAATGGTGAGCACTGTTCTCACCACAAACGGACATCTGAACAGTGAGAAAACTTGAATCTTAAGATTCAGGCTTAGGAGTGGGTGCCCAGCATATAGGAATGTGGTTTCCCCAAGGAATTCTTCCAAAACGTGACCATCGTGCTGCCTCTGCCCAAAGGAGAGCTGAGGACCACAGACATCTTCCGGGGCTGTCTCTGTGCTGGACCATGGCCTGAACATTCAGAGGACACAGGCCCTGCATGGTGCATGGCATAGCCCAGAGGCAGACACCCCCTGCCTTGCCTCCCAGCCTCCCTTAACATCATCTTTACGAACCTGCACTCACACCCTTGGGGTTCCTGGCAGGATGGCAAGGAGACGATGTCACTGACCCAGGCATGGCCGCACACTCCTATAGCCCCAGAACTCAGGATGGCTGAGGCAGGAGGATTCCAAGTTCAAGCCCAGCCAATACAACTAGTAACCAGAAGAGACTCTATCTCAAAATTCAAAAGTATAAATAACGGGCTAAGTGTGTAGCTCTGTGTGAAGGCCATGGGTCCAAAGCCTAGTAATACAAAGAAAGAACCAAAGACAGAAAGACAGAAAGAAAAAGAAAGAAAGAAAGAACTAACTGTTGCACTGATACCCCAGCACTGCCTCCCTCCAAGCAGGGCATCTCAGCCTTAGGGCTTCAGAGCTTGGAAAGGCCTTGGGGCTCCTCACACCAAGATGGTCAAGATTCCTTCTTTCTGCAGTTATGACACCGCTCTGGAGATGATGCCCAAGTGTAGCTATGAGCGGAACACGCACATCACCCCTTCCTGGCTCAGTGCACTGATATCTGCTGGTCACTACATGAGTCCAGAAGCACCACTGCAGGTAAACATGGAATGCACACACCTGGCCCCAACACATGTTCACAGACATGCAGATACATGAGTACTGTGGGCATGTGTGCACCGTACGTGTCTCTTCTTCCCAGACATTTGTTTTCCCCCAGGGGAACAGGAGGCACTGCATCAGGGCATTTGTGCTCACAGGTGCACAAGGATTTCCCAGGTGCCGAGCATGCATTCAGCCGGTGACATCCACAGCTGCACGGGTACCAGGTGGGAGGAGCACTGCAGTGTGGCTGAGAGACCTACAGCTGCTGCAGGTCAGAGGAGGGCCATGGATCCCTCTCCCCAGAGGCAGGGGCGGGGTGGGGGGGACACCCATGTGGGAGGTGGCCATCATCTTCACCAATGCTGCAGATGGCTCAGAAAGGCCAGGCCTAAGCACAGACCGGAGGGGCAGCCCCCAGGCCGGAAGGAAAGAGAGGGAACACAGGTAGAGGGCCAGGGACAGTGGGGAGCTCCCACAGAAAGGACAGGACAGAGACAGAAAGGGAAGGACTGGGGAGGGACAGATCAGAGGGCACAGCGTGGACCCAATAAACACTCCAAGTCCAGGGCCCACACTCCTCCACTTGGGCTGTGTGTGGCAGGATTCTTGGGAAACAGAACCAGCAGGGGTATGTGTCTGTGTGAGCACATGTGTGCAAGTGTGTGTGTACATGCATCCCTCTGTGTTTGTGTTTTCTCCATCATGGATTCACTCAACCATGCATGGAAAACACCTGGGCTGAAAGATGCGTGTAGATTGACTTACAGATACACAGACTTTTTTTTCTTTGCCATTATTTGTAAACAACACAGTCTCACAGCTATTTACCCAGTGCCAACACTGTGTTAGGCATTATTCAAAGAGGAAGCCAAGTAAAGGACAGGATGGGTAGGTTCTGTGCAAACACTATACCATTCTGAGGATTTGGGTATCAATGGGGATCCTAAAGCTGGTCCCCAGAGGATGGAGAGGATGACCTTGAAATACACATAGGAGGGTGCAGAGAGAGAATTTAAAAGAATTGAAAATTTAAATTTCAACCACAAAATAGTTAAAATAATTGGTTCATTCAACCACAGAGACTGCAAGTCTGGAATCTGCAGGGTGGCTGAAGCCCCAGGCAGGAGTCACTGCTACAGCTCAAGTCTGAAGGCATCTGCTAGCACAACTGCTTACTACTCAGGGGACCTCAGACTGGCTCTTCTGACCTTCAACTGATTAGGCAAGCCCCACCTCTCAATAGCGGTTCATCTGCCTCCCCTGAAGGTGGCTGATGTAATGGTACCCCCATTCTGGGGAACTCCTTCACAGCCATATTTAGAATACTACTGAGTCAAGTATCTATACCTACTGAGATGACAAAATTATGCATCACAGGGGAAAACGCTTTTTTTTTTTCTTACAAAGAAAAGCACAAGAATGGTAATAGATGTCTTGCCCAAAGGACACTCATTATACACTTTGCTCTATGGTCCCCAGCTCAGTGTGCACTTAGAGTATCCCTGCTCATACCAGAGGGGCAGGGCCTTCTTCAAGGTATGGAACACCTGGGTCCACAACTGACCCCACAGAAAGGCCAGGTGTGGGCAGGGCCTGTGAGGCCCCTGCTATGCACTCTGCTACCTCACCCAGCCTTCAGTCTTGGCCACAGTGCCCGACCCTGCCTCCAGGACAGGGCAGGTATGTGAGGGGCTGGTGGCACTGAGAAACCACAGGCAGCCCACGGACAGGGACAGGCACTACTTCGAGGCTGAACATGAACACCATCCAAAGCCCTCTCCCCCAGCCTCCTCTGTCTCAGCCCCTTGCCCTTGATCTCCTGGGCATCACTCTCTGCCCTCCAGGGTCCTTCTCCACTCTGAGCAGAAGCTGTGACCCCCCAGGCTGGGACCCGAGGTGCCTGCACTGACTGTGCTTTCCGGTGGGGCCTCCATCTTTAGCATGGTGGCAGGAGGCCTGCTGGGCTGACTCCCTCCTCCTTAGTTCCACCCTCAGGACACAGTCCCGTGGGGCTGCAAGCTTGGTCCTGCCCACACCCGCTCCTGGCCATCGAATACTCCTTCTGTGCCACCAAGAGGCTTCTGCCCTTGCAGACCACAGCTGACACCCTGAAGCCCATACGGTGACTTATGCACCTAACGCTGGCCCTGCACCCTGGCCATCGGTACAGAGGTGCCTGAGGCCACCTGCAGCAGGGTCTGCAGCAGCCATGGCTCAGTGTAAGGGGGCACCTATGCCCTTATGCAGGGGACTGGACCATGTGGAAAGGCAGCAGGCCTGTGTATTCCTCTAATCTCACTACAGAAACAGGAATATTTGTTTCAAGTCTCTGTGTGAACGCTGACCACTGATCCAAATGTTTTAGGAACTCCAGGCAGTTGAAGAAAATGACTGAAGGCGGGAACCGACCTGAGGTTGCCACACACCCTGGAGGCCCCAGGTGGGAGAGGGACACGCACCTGGTGGATCTCATGCCAGCCGTTCTCGTCCTTGCAGCACACAGTGGCATGCTCATGTAGCAGCAGCTCGCAGCAGTAGGGGTCGCCCCCCACAATGGCTGTGTGATACAGCGGCGTGAGACCGTAGCTATCCTTGTAATCCGGAGAGGCACCAAGCTCTAACAGGGTCTGGGGAAAAAAAATTCCAAAGTCAGGGTCACTAATTTCATAATGGCTTTTGCACAAGGAACAACAATCACAGCAACACACGCCCCCTCTTCTGCAGGCCAGTGTGGCCCTGGGCTCCTACGGATTTTCCCCAAACTCAGAATTAAGCAGGTCCTAAGTGTAGTCAGTGACGTTTCTAGGCCTGAGGTAGCACACAGTGGGTGCTCAGCCATGCAGGACCAGCTTGTGTGGGAGAGAGAAGGGCAGGCATGGGGCTGCAGCCCCACATCCTCATGGGCAGTGATGGAGAGCAATCCAGGGAAGGCGGTGTTTGCAGGAGAGGGAGGTTGTACCCTTTAACGGGACGCACAGGGGACAGCATTGTGCTCTGAGAGTGAAAACCTACGCAGCAGCATTGGGAACGCACGTGATTTCTGCAGCAGCCAGTGGAAGGGCACAGCTGAGGCTGAGACAGCTGAGACTTGGGGAGAAGCCCCACGTTGGGTAAGCCTGCTGCAGAGACCCCATCCTCCCTCACCAGGGCGCCAATGAAGAATGGGCCTGGGAGCCCCTATTTTCCATGGGTGCTTGTTAAACATGGCTGGGGCAGGTAGAGGAACAGGCGACCACCAAGGGAGCATGATGCTATGGGGTACACACAGCCTTGCTGGGTGGCAAGGTGGATGTGGCGCCCTCTGCTGGGCAGACAGCCTCCTCCAGGAGGCACAGTTTGGTTTTGGCACCAGCCTTAGAGGGCTCACAACGTGAACCCTTTATTAAAGCAGAAGGAGAAGATGGCTTTGTAGACAGTAAATTCTCAAAGCAGCAATACCAAGGACAGAGAGTAGAAAAACCCTCCAAGTTCCAGTGGGGACAGCTGCAGGGGACTGAGAAGGACAGCATGTCTGACACAGGACCCGCTTAGACATACCTTCAGGGCAATCTGGTTCCTGGCTCGGGCGGCTTTGTGCAGGGCAGTCATCCCATCCTTGGCACGGAAGTCCAGGTGAGCCCCACCATTTCGGAGGGCTTTGATGACCTCCATGGAATCATCCAGCTGGGCGGCCAGGGTCAGAGGAGTCTCTGAGGGTTCCAAACACACACATTAGCAACAGTGCTCAGGGCAACTGGGAAGGCTGAGCTCACTAAGCCATGTTCAAAGGCTGAAAATTGAGCTGAAAAAAAAATGGACCTGCAGGGTACAAATGCCACCCACCCACTCATGGAGCCCAGCAGTCCGTACAGTCAGGCTGGTGGGGAGCATAATCAGAAGGGTGAGGTCCTCCTGTGAGGGGACGAGGGTCAGGAGGGGCATTATGCAGATGACCCTAGCAGTCCGTAGCTGACTCTGATGGGGGCGTCAGTATTTGCTATGGTGCATCTTTCTACTAATCCTTTTATGTCCCCACCTGCATGCTGAGCAAGGTGACTGGCATTTGCATTACAGAAGTATACAGAGCGCCAGGGTAACAAAGCACACACTCTCAACCACGCACACCGCACACCAGCAATCGGGTTTCCCCAAATGAGTCAAAAACTATATCTGCACAGGAGCCTGGGTGTTCAGGTTTAGGGCAGCTTTATCCACAATTTCTCTGAACTTGCACAGTTCCCACTGTCCTGCTGTGGATGAACAAACTGTAATACATGCAGGTAATGGATTGCTGGGTCCTGAAAATGAGCTATCAGGCCATGAAAAAATACGGAGGGACCATGAATGCACATTACTGAGAGAAGCCAATGCGAAAGGCTTTATCAGTGTGGTTCCAATTCTACCCTGTTCTAGAAAAGATGAACCTCAGAGAGAGTAAGAACAGTGGTTGCCAGAGGCTGGGGAACAGAGGGATGCACAGGTAGGGATCAAAGGATATTTGGAGTGGTGATAATATCCTGCATGACGCTTACAGTGGGTACAGGACATGAGGCTTCTGTCCAAGCCCACAGAGTGGACCTATACCACCAAGAGTAAACTGTGTGTGAGCCAGGGCCTCAGCTATTGTAACAGAGGCACCGCACCATGGCCAGGTGCTAATAAGAGGGGAAACAGAGGTAGGGCACATGGGAACTCTCTACTCCTTTGGCTTGATTTTCTACAAACCTGAACTGGCTCTGCGTCCAAGCCTAACACCCACTCCTGGGGGCTTGGCCCCGGGCTCAACTCCTGCTACCACCCTGTTTCCTGCAGCCCCATCTACAGCCTCATCTGTATTGTGTCTTGCTTTATCATACACACACACACCCTCTATGAGACACCTGCTCCCTGCAGAACACAGCCAGGTATAAATAAGAGCAATCTTGACCTAATGGATTCTGTATGTGAGCTCTCACTTAAAACCCGTCTCTGCTTATTAGGAGCCAGTTGGTACCCTACAAACCAAATACATCCGCACATCCATCATGACAAAGGGGGTTATCTGCCTGCAGCCCTCAGCCTGCCTTCATCTGTGCTGGGTTACCTGTGCACCTGTCACCTTCTGCAGGCTGATGTTTATGAGGTCTCAGGACCCCACTCCCTGGAGCTGCCCCTCAGCATTATTCTTCCTGGGGAATTACAGGCAGTGATCCATTAAGGGGCTGTAGGGATACTGCCAGATACCATCCATCACCACATGCATCAAACAAGCCCCTTCTGCTCCCAAACCAAGGAGGCACTCAGCGTACTTGGAAAGAGAAGGTCCATGAAGCCTTCTAATTGGGCCATGCGGGAGCCCAGGAGAGGCCCCCAGGAGCCCACCACAGCGACGTGTGGGCAGAAGCAGCTCCTCCAGCACAGATGATGAACAGCTTAACTCGGAAGCAGCCCCAGCCTGACAGGCAACAGACGCATCACTGCCTGGCAAAGTCATTTAGTATCCGGATCTTACAAATGACTCCGCACACATCACAGGGTCCTGCACTATGTAGCCTAATAAAGGAATATTCTAACCTCTACTTTTCATCAAGATGATTAAAGCACCAAAAGGCCCTTCTGAAATTATGGCCAAGTCTTCCTTTGTTGCACATGGGCTTCTCAAGTTTGGAAGCCATGCGGTAAAATAAAATTGCTAGGTAATATTCCATTCAAATTGTCACTTCTTTCTTCTCGCCAGGCTTTGGTCTGATTCCCTAGGTTCCAACCAAAGCAGCCTGGGTCCCCAGTGAGAGAACTCTTTTATTTTTCTATTCTATTTTCATCATGGCTACTTAATGAAATTTACATTCTCAACAGGTAGCTCAGACAGCTGCTTGTGATAGCACAGGCTGTTTGGTTTTAATTGACAGGTCATTCTGCTGTGATTTAATTATCTCTCAAATGCCATTCCATCCAGAAAGGCTCCTTCCCCTGCCTGTGGCCTGAGTATGGCCCTGAGTCAGGGACACCAGACAGGTCTGGGTGATGTGTCATTTCTTCATTTTAAGAAGGAAGCTGCTTCTGACTCTGTCCCCAGGAAATGAGGTCTGCTTTGCAGCCAGATTCTGCTACTCAGTGGGTAGAAAATCACGAAACACAGCGTGGAGCCCCACAGTACAGGATGGGGACATGCGAGGGCTGTTGGAGCCCAGCAGGGGAAAGCGCCTGCCTTGAAGGAAAGGGTGAGTGAGTGCACTCTTCCCACCCACTGGCCCTGCCTGGTAGTCCAGATGCAGCTGATCCTGGACCAGAGACATCCCTGCCACCCTGTTCAGGGTCAGGGCCACATTCAGCCAGCATGGCAGGCAGAACGCAGATCCAGGCTGAAAACTCACACCTAGAGTCCGCAGAGCCCAGGATAGGTCTCTTCCTGTTATGGATTAAGAACTGGTGGTCAATTTATCGCCAGCTGGATTATATCAGCATGACACTGAGTGTAGATACTCCACATGAGGAAAGTTGCCAGCATAAATAGACAGGTGGAGGAGGAGAAGGAAGACATTAATGCTTATTGCGTTGAGGCATTGTGGGTTCTCCTACGTGTTTGCTGTCTGAGTCATTGGTTCTCCTGGAGAAGCTCTGGTCCTCACATCGAGCATTGCTTCCTGGCTCTGGAGGGGAAGATGTGTGCCGCTTAATCTCCAGGATGAACTCGTCACACTGGCTTCCTGGCATGTACCCAACTGTGCTTGTTGTCGGAGGAGCTTGCGGCCTCCGTGTCACTGAGGATGGCTGTGGTGCCTTTCAGGACAGCCCTGGTGTTTGTTATGAGTGTGACTTCTTGGCTCCAGCGTAGAACCCTCATTCCACCAGCACAGCTCCTTCACCCCACTGGCATAGACTTTCTGGCTTCCACTGCTGACCTCTGGGCCTTCCCAGCACGGATCCGTAAAACAGACTGGCATGAGTCCTTCTTGTGGGCTCTGGACCTCCAGGTGGACTCGTGGGAGGCATTGTTATGAACTCTGGGTTTTCATCTGGACTCATGTGGGACACTGCTGTGGGATTTAGGCCCTTGACCTAATATTTTATGTTTTTGGTGTTGTGGACAGATTTCCTGCATTTTCCTGTGTTAACTTCCGGTGACCATTATAAAAATATTATAAACTCCATGTCCTGATTCTAATTGTTCTCTGTACAACTCCTGACTACAACACCTCCATTGCTGGTAACTTGGTAACTGGCTCAGATTGTGCTGCTGTAACCAGATCTAGAGGCTGAGAGGCTCCCAAGCAGCAGGTATACATAGCCTGCATGTCTGGAGCCTGGATTCCAAGCTTACTATGCCAGCGCAGCCCATCTCTGGTGAGGCTCCTGGCTTCCCGGATCAGAGACAGTAACCTCTTGCTGCATACACATGGTGGGATAGGCAGGGAGCTCTCTGAGGTCTCTTGCCCAAGGGCTCTGATTGCATTCATATAGACTCTGCCCTGTCCCTTCCTGGAGGGCCCTCTCCTAACACTACCACCTAGGGGTGGATTGCAAAGCTGGGCTCTGGGAGAACCATCATTCAAACCACAGAGGAGCCACCTCACACTAGAGCTTCAGGTCTCACCCCCAAGGGACCTGTTTCACCAGATGTAGGGGGACTATGGAGGAGAGGCTTGTACAGCTCCAGGCACATCATGGTGGCAGGGTCGTCTGTACTTTACACAGCTGTAAGTGTTACGTCACTTTATCATCTCTGCATGGACAACAGTACTTGCTTCCCTAGGAGTAAGCAGCTCCAGGAGGTATGGGAAGCCTGAGACACCAGAGAGCTTGCAGATGCCCTGGAGGGAACTCACCAAAGTGACCTCCACCTCTTTCCCTCTGCATCCCAAACTAGCAGAGAACAGCATCTGCTGAGTTCCTGCAGCTGAGGATGACAGGGACATTCTGGAAACCCTGAATGACCCATGTGATACTCTTTAAGCCATCCAATGCTCCTGTGTCTCAGACTTACAGGGAATTATCTGATTCATGAGCTGAGGAGCCAGGAGCTCAGAGGAGTCCCTGAACCTGGAGCCAGCTGTGGAAAAGATGGGGTTGAAATTGGGTCTCCCTGGGTTCTCTGGGCCTAGGTGCTGAGTTGGCTTCTTGGGGCTCAGGATCATGGTTCCACACCACTGCAACCCTGACTCTCCAGCAGTAGTGTCCCCTTCTACCACAGGGCCATGTGCATGTGCGTGCGTGTGTGTGTGTGTGTGTGTGTGCGCGCTTTGAGAGGACACTGAGGTTCCTGATATCCCATTCTGCCCAAGGAAAATTACAGGTGGAGTTTTCTGACACCACCTGGCTGTGCACTCTTAGCTAAGCCAGTGCCAGCCATGTGTTCTTCCTGTGTCTCACCATGTGGAGCCCGGGTACAGTGCACGCAATCCTGAAATTGCCCATAATCTCTGTGTGTTTCCAAGACAGTCACCTTTCTCTTACATCCTGTGTTCACTCACCACCTGTGGTCCCATTTCCCCACCACACAATCGGAAGCATCAGCTTCTCTCTGGCTTCAGGGAAAGGAGTGGAAATCCCTAAGATGTTGACAGTCCTGCAGTGGGGTTGGGGGATGCCCAGAGTTGTACCTGAACATACTTCCAGAACTTTCTATCTTAACTCTTCCCTTTCATCAGGCTCCAAATATTTAATCTTGTCTTAAAAGCTCCACTATGGTTCATCTCTGTTAATTACATCCCTGTAAAAGAAATCTGCTTACCAATGTCTACAGCAGTTTTATTTGTAATCATCAGAACATGAAGCAATGCAACTATCTTAAGATAAACAAACGGCAGGGCACCCACATCCTGGGGTGCAATTCAGTGCTAGGAAACTGAATGACTGAGTCATGAGAAGGCATGGAGGAAAACTCACTGCATATCACTAAGCGGAAGGAGCCAGTCTAAAGAGGCTTCACACTGTGTGATTCCAACTCTGACTTCTGGAAGAGGCAAAGCTATGGGGATCGCAGTGACATCAGTGGTTGCCAGGGACTGGCAGAAGAAGGGATGAGTAGCTGGGGCACAGAGGATGTTTAGAGCAGGGGAACCATGGTGGTGGACACAGGAATTATAGAGTTGTACAAAGCCAAGGAATGTGTAACTCCAAGAGCAAGCCCTAACCTATGCACTTTAGTTCATCATAATATGTCATGTTGGCTCATCAGTGATAACAAATGTACGATGTTAAAGACAAGACATCAACAATGAAGAAAGCAAAAGGAGGAAGCATTAGTTCATGCGGGAACACTAAGCTTTGTGTCCAATTTTCTGCACAGAACTCTTCGAAGAAATAAAGTCTACTAACTTCAAAGAACAAGTAGTGAGTGATGGTGGAGGGGGGTGAAAAGCTCTATTTGGCTGAGGAATATTAAATACCACAAGGAGAAAATCGATTTAGAGAAATAACCAGTTGGCAGTCGCAGTGCGAGGGCTGATACAGTTAAGTGTTTTTAGCTTTAAGCTGGAAATAATGATTTCTATCAAAACTAAAACCAAAACAAAACAAGCCCCTAAACCACTCTGTTGGATCACTCTTAACTTCCCCGGGGAGGGAGAGAAAAGTGTCACAGAAAAAAGGCAACTCTACCTCCCATTGTGGGTCTTTTGTTCTGCAGCCTCTGTCCTGATGGGCCCCTGTCTCGGTCCCTGGTCCTGCTGATGGTGGCCTTTGCTGGAGCCTCTGGGATACTTGTCGTTCATTATACTCTCTGCCAGGAGCCACTTAGCAAAGGTGCCACCAAAAAGGTGGCTCTGTTTCTTCCCTGGCCTGGTCACCATCAACTGACCCAGACTATAGTCACAGGAATAGAGCTACCCTTGGGTATCCAGGACCCAAAGGCACCAAAATCCACAGCTGCTCATATCCCTCATATGAGACAGAAGGCTATTTGCACAGAAACTACACACCTCCTCTCAGATGTTTACTTGTAATACCTGATACAAGGTGAATATGCTGCAAACAGCTGTGTGACTATCTCTCTTATATGTTCAGGACAGACATCATCTCTTTTGCTAGATATTTTCAATTCCTAGGCAGTTGAATCCCAAGACTCGAAACCAGGGCTGTGGAGGGCGACTGTGTATTTGCTGGAGAACACAGGTGATCACAGCTGCCTCTGCTGTTCACAGTCCAAGGTGTGACTGTTCCATGCATGGGGGAGCTGAGAAGGACCTGCCCCTTAATTACACTGCTCCGTACCCACTCACAGCTTAAGCAACCCAGGGCTTAAGCTCCCTATGGACTAGACCCATAATTACCATGACTGCAGCTTTACCTCCAGCCAGGCATACAAGAGGTAGCCCCATCTGTGTCTGTTTCAAAGGTTCAGATCTGTGTCACTGTGTGTTTAGAAGCAACACTAGGGTCTGCTCTGGAATATCCATCACTCCTAAACTCTTAAAACCCAGCAATACCAACACTGGGAGGGGAGTGAGGGGTGGCCGGGCTCGTGCTGGGATGGAGCTGGTTAGAGGAGGTCATGCAGGGAAGGACAGGGGATCCTGGAGTGGTCCCCTGACCTCCTATGCTGCTGACCAGGCAGGGGACAGAGGTAGCCCACACTGCCCAGGTTCTGAGGAGTCATCCGGAAACAGGTAAGACAGATAGGAGCAGCTCACTCTGGTCAGTGCGAGTTAAAGCCCATGGCTTATCCCCAGGAGAGAATTGAGGTCGGGAGCTCTTGACAACAGGAACCAAGCCTCGCTGAAGGTCGCCTGCAGATGTGCCTGAAGGCTCAAGTTCACGCTCACGCTTACTTATACAGCCTAAGTGAGCAGGGATGGGATGGGCCCTGCCCTTGAAGCGAGGACCAACGCCTAAGGCTGATGAAGAGAGAAGCCTCCTCATTACTGTGACAGGAGACACATGGCTGGGACAGAGTGAGAGCCAAATGCCTCAGGCCACTCCCTGCACAGACACCCCCAGCTCTCTCATCCTGATGTCCACCCTGGGTTGGGGCCTGCCCAGGCTCAGGCCCTCCGTTCTGGTCTTCTCCCCAGGATATTCACATACGGTTCTGTCTCCTTGGGTATCACAGTTGCCACCAGAAAGCTGCTTGTCCCTGCTCTGATGCTGCTCACATTTAACCCAAGAGACCCAGGAACAAAGAGGCCATCATATCCCCAAGCAATTCAAAGACAGGGATACACCCAGCACCTAGCAGGGGCCGATGGGTTAGCTGGCCCTCCCACAGATGACCAGCATGCGCCACAGATACTCTGTTCCTCATGTGCTGGTATCCAGTGGGCCACGGCCAGAGATGCTACTAAGCACCCCACAATGTCCAAAGAACAATCCATACCCGGACCAAACTGCTGAGGCTGGAAAACGTCACCATAGTGAAACTACCAGGGCAGGAACAAATTCTCCATGGAGTACTCCATGGCTTAGTGTCTAAGGACCTTAGGTCCACAGAGGAGGGAGAAGACAGGTGTGCTAATCAACCCATCCCTACCACAGTGGGGCTCTGCCAGGAGCCCACCGGAGATGGGCACACATTTGTGCACTTGCTCATCACCAATCACTGTGCTCCAACTGCATGCCAGGCCCACATCCGAGGCAGGGTGGAGTGGTGAGCTGCACAGGCAGGGAGTCACAGGAGGAAGGACACTTCGGGGTCCAGGACAAAGCATGGATGGTGTCGGTTTCTTAGTGTTTATGTGAATCAGCCTTGGCATCAATCTTGACAAGCACTGGGGGCCACTAAAGATCTCTCTGACAAGGACCCACCTCCAGTCTCCAGGTCATGGAAATTGGGGTCCAGGCCTCGGTCCAGCAGCTTAACCAGCTTTTCCACAGACCGATGCTGAGTATGATCCATGAACTTCTTCAGGTTGGTCTAGAGCGGAAAGTAATGGAACAGAAAGGTGTTTGTAAGAATTGTTTCCACAGGCCAAGGGCAAGTTTTCCCTCCTGGTACACTGGCTGCATTCACACTGGGCCACTGTGCCCCAACGGTTCCTTAGCAGCAGTGGCTCAGGAGCACCAGGCCGAGGCTCTGGGACCATCCTACATGAAGGTTCCAGAAATCCCTCACTGCTGACCACCTTTGGGCCATGGCTTGATGTTTGTGTCCCTCTAAAATTCACATGTTGAACCAAATTCCCAATGGAGGTGGGGTTTGGGGAGATAAATAGATCATGAAGGTGGAGCCCCAACAGATGGGATTTGTGCCCATATAAAAGAGACTCTAGAGAGTGCCCAGCCCCTTCCACCACCTGAGGACAATGCCTTCCATGAGCCATGAGAGCCTTCCCAGACATCAAATCTGCCATACCCTAACCATGCACACCCCACACTCCAGAAGCACAAGCAGCAGATGTCTGTGCTTTGTGAAATACCTTAAGTTTTCTATTATAGCAGCAGGAACAGATTACACTTTGCTGAGAGCTACAGGACGTTCCTTTGCTGTTGTGGGTCACTGGGACTGGAACGGCTATGAAAATCTGCAGCTCCTAGAACCCACCAGGTTCTTTCCTGGGGAACAAGACTGAGGCTCTGGTCCCTAAAGAGGCAGCTATACTGCAAAGCAAATGTCACTATCATTCACTCAGCTGAGACAACTTCCTGGTTACCCCAGGCCACAAAGTGGGCATTCCTGCTTCACGTGATCTCCCTGGTGGGCAGCTGGACTTTCATAGAGAGGGACTTTCTCTAAGCATTGCCTGCTGATTCAGCTTGGAGGGGGCTGGTTCTTGCTAGTGAGCAGACTCTGAGCTTCTGGGTCCAGACTGCAAGATGCCACGATTCTCTGATGAGTCCACTGATTCTCACAGGCTTAGCGCTTGCCCTTCTCTGCAGCTCTCCCAAAACACAGATGGAAACAAACAGTGGCTCCCAACACAGACCCCTGCTACCACCTGTATTTCTACCTCAAGTTCTGCATACTTCAGAACCCCAACAAATCTCCAAAAACCCAAGAAACCCAGGATGCCACTTAAAACATTGGCTGCCATTTAATGATGTTCTTTAATTCACAAGCACAGTTTTATCCATGCATCAAAGGATAATTTTTTTAAAATGTCAAGCATTGTTCCAAGGATGAGGCAGGGGACAGAAAAGCCTGGAGCATTTTGTGCCAGGAAGAGGTCAGGGCACTGCGGAGTAGGAGCACTTGACAGACAGTAGAGAGCTGGATAGAAAGGCAGTCATGAATTTAGCACAAAAGAAAAAAATCATGATGATATGTTAGACTTCACAAGACACAGTAAAGATCCTTGTGTCCAGACCTGGTTGCAGTGGCACACACCTGGAATCCCAGAACTCTAGGAGGGTGAGGCAAGGGGATCACAAGTTTGAGCCCAGCCTGAGCAACTTAATGATATAATAAAAATATGCCTCAAAATAATTTTTTTAAATAAAAAGCTGGGGATGTAGCTTGGTGTGAAGGGCTTGGGTTTGAACCCCAGTACCAACATCAGGAAGCCTCTGACTCACACAGCATCCCTGGTAAGCAGTAGGCTGGGCATGACACCAATCACCTCGCTGTCCAGCTGGGTGGCCTCCGGACACAATGACCCAGGTGTGTTCAGCTGGGGACTGAGCTCCCAAGGCAACACAGCACCTCCCTCCCTTACTCACCTGTACATTTCCCCCACGGTCATTCATGTTAATGCACCTTAATAAGGTCTGTGCTGATGTGACAACCATGGGAAACTCTCATAGTGCTCACATATGCCCCTTTCCCTCTATCATTCTGTGTCCAAAGCCCATGTTTTTCAGAGACACTGTTTTTGAACCTCCCTGGAGCATCCAGGATTAGCAACCCTTGTCCCAGGCCCCCAGTAGCTTTGCTGCCTTGTGGATGCCTGGTTCTCTGGCAACCTGCATGTGTCATGAGGCCTGTCCACTGGTCCACTCAACCTCTCCCACACCAACCTAGGCAGGTAGTAGGTGCTTCAGGAAGAAGAGACTCCAAAGACACAACAGAAAAAAAAATACTGGCAAGAATGTGAGCGCAGCTATTCCCTGCATACCTTTGTGTGGAGCTTGGCCAGCTGCTTCTCATCTAGATTGGACTGTTTATACACCCGCTTCTTGTATCGAAACTGGCACAGAAACAGAAAAGCAAAGAAAAACAGGTTAGTACTTGACGTGGCCTTCCCCTGGGTTACTTCCCTGCAGAAGGGATCTTAGCAGCAAACCTGTGTATTAGACAAACTACGAGTGTTTGTACTGCAGAGCACAAAGCATCCTGGGAAGGAGCTTTGCCAGCTAACAGGGCACGTTGGTCCCTGGCGTGGGAACCCACCTGCTCTTCGCACAGCACATTCAGCAGGTGAGCACACAGCCTCAAGCACCAAGGCTTTCATGCCTTCTGCCTTTGTGGGAACCCACTGGAGCAGCCCGCTCTTGGGGAGGCCCCTGCCCCAGCCCTATGTGCCTAGGACTTTGGGGACCCTCTGCATTCCCTCAAAACAGCAGCACTTCCTTTGAATTGGAAATCATGCTACAGAGTCAAACGGCCTGCTTACTTAGATGTGGTGGTAGCACCCAAGAAGGCAAATTGTCACTGTCTGCCTCACAGTCCTCCAATGCTGTGTCCCCTGGGTGCTTCCTTCTCCCAGCCTCCCAGGGTCCTCTTGCAGCTGAGGGTGCTGGGGACACCGCAGAAGTGTGGAAGGGAATGCTGAGAATGTGGGGGCCACTGAACCCAGAGTAGCAAATCTGATCTCATTCCAGTCCCATGTTCCCCTAGCCACTCAATAATTTTGGGTTAGACACTCTCATCCCTGCCTCGGTTTCCTTATCTGTTCTTTGTAAAGGGACACCAACATCACATCTCAGGGTGGCCTAAGGGTGGAATGTGGGCCTCCTGGCACAGACCTGGCAGCACACACAGGCCGCTTCATCCATCCATCCCACATCCCTTGAGACCATCACACCCAAGGAACTCACAGGCTCAGGGTGAGCAGGGATGCACACAGGATAAAGGATGGTATGAGGTAGAGAGTGGTGGGCCAGCCCTGAGCTGAGTCTGATATTCACGGCACCCCTCTAATCCACAAAAAAATAGCAAATCAACAACAGACAAAATGCTTCTTTGCCACAGACTGCAACTCATTTCTTACTTCACAAAATAAGCCAGTTATATAATGAGAGAGCTCCTTGCACCCCCGGGCTGCCCAGAACTGCTGGAGAAGGAACTGAGCACATTTGTTGAGCTCCCAGAATTGATGGGGTGTGGGAGCTCCAGACCTATACAGGGTTTCCAAACCCTCCCTGTAGATTTCATCAGGACAGCCCTGGGAGCCATGGGAGTTTCATGTCCTGGAACCACTAAACAACTCTCTCCCCTCATTAGATACACCTCTGGTCCACATTTCTGAAGCTACTGGGAAGCATACAGGGTGAAAAACAGCTCACTGTCTCCCAGCTAATGGGGAAGCAGGGAGCAAGTCTTCCAATTACAAAAGAGTATGCTGGGTAGGGCTGGTCACAGGCCTCAGCAGGGTCACTCCTAGGTCCACAGACACTCACAGCCATGCTTCAGAGGGACACAGCCTCAGAGCACAAATCCTTTTCCTGCAATGTTCCCAGCAAAGAGCTGGACCAAGCCTGTCCTTATGTCTGAGCCCTGCTGGGACAGTGTCCAGGGAGAATAAACCCAAGTATTAAGCACAACTTCACTATGAGAAGCAACTACGGCAGCAGCACAGCACCATCTGGGGCACCCCACAGGAAGCCACGCCCACCCAGGACACCCAGGACATCCCACAGGAAGCCACGCCCACCCAGGACATCCCACAGGAAGCCACGCCCACCCAGGACACCGCCCCATGGACGCATAACCCCTGTAGGCAGTCACTGCTAATGGCCCTGGGTTTAGAGCCAGGAATTTGAAGGTCAGAGAGTCCCAGCTCAAAGTCACCCAGCTCCTGAGCCTAGGGCCAAATCAAGATTCAGCTCCCAGGATTCTTAGTCACTTTGCTTAGTTTTACTGTCACCGTAGAAACTCTCAGTGCCTGGAATGAATAAACTGTCCTTGTTCCCCATTCCTAGTTCCGCACTTCTTCCATGAGATTAGAGAACTTTGACTTTCTGGATAGGCTGGATAACTCTGCAAAGCACATGGGCTGTCAATGGGAGATGTCTCTAATGGGTGCTCATTTTATGGATAGGCAAACTGAGGTCAGAACAATGGATGATTTGCTTAGAACCACTCTGCTTCCAAAAGACTTCCACCTTTACCTTCCCTTGAACCCCAACCCCTCTGACACATGTTCACATTAATTGGATTCAAGTGACATCAGCCTCAGAGCCCCAAGGGAACTTTGAATTATCCACTGATTATCACTTTGGTGTCCTCTCAGACCTCAGAGTACTCTGCAGAGATTGCTAGTACCACTTAGCCACTCAGGAACCAGCTACAATTCCATGCTTGCTGCCTCTCACTGAGCAATGCGTAATTGTTTAAGAACAGCGACATGGTTCCGTACCACTGCAGAGACAGCCGCATTACCGCTAGTTCCACAGCTGATCCACCATGCCTGTGCTGTTGGAAACACTATGTGTAACCCCCGGTACAGCAAGGTAGGGGCAGAAGGCAGGATGGGGTTGTGCTGTCCGTGGAGGTACACATGGGCCACTTCACAAGCCCAATTGGGAGACACCGGAAGGGGAGGTGTGGCAGTTCATAAGCCCTGGTTACTCCTGGTTCAGCTGCTGGAGGGAAGTTGCTCTGATTATGGCTTGGTGGCTACTGTCCCCTCCTGCCAGGGTCCAAAAGCCTGGCTTAGAAAGAGTGACATAGAAAAAGTATTAAGTCTTTGTTCCCAGTTTCTGGCACATAGTTCCCAAAACCTGAGAACCTCGGGTATCTTCAGTGTACTAATGAGATGATGCCTGAGTCCATCAGCTTCGGGACAGGGTTGGTGGTCAGAAGCCTGTGATTATAGCATTGGACTTTCAGTTTCATCCTTGTCCTGGGTGGGGGGTGATGGAGCAGACTGCCAACAGCCAATAATTTAACCAATCACACCTACCAGGAAAATTTCTGGAAAATAAGGTTTGAAGAGGTCCTGAGTTGGCAAACACATCCCCATGCCAGGAGGATGGGAGCACTTCAGCTCCCTGCAGGGAGGAGCGCTGAGCTGGGGAACCTTCTAGACTCTGCCTGGGCACCTCTCCATTGACATCCTTCCCATAAACTAGTGAGGTCTGTGACACACACAGCATGTTAGCAAACTGGAAGAGGGGCTTACAGGACCCAAATTGAGGGCCAAGTCTGAGAGAAGTAGGGGTAATCTGTAGAGCCAGGAGTTGTGATGGTCACCTAGAGTGGGGACCCATGGGGTACCACGCAGTTGTGGTGAAACCCAAAGCCCTTGGGCTGGCATTAAGCAAGGCCACTCTACATCTTCAGGACTCACAGACCCTGGTGACACAAGCTTCACCAGGGGACCCTTGGTTCATTCATACCAAGCCTTCTTCCTAACAGATTTGTTAGAATCTACAGCAAGAAAACAAACATAGAGAAATCACACAGCAGGGCACAAGCTACAACAAAATAAGGTATAACCTCGTGACCTCAAACTAATGTTTTTATTTTGGGGGGTAATTCCCAACCCAAGGCAAACCAAGAGTCTGGTCAAAGAGCCGCCCTCCACCACCTTCCCAGCCGCTGGTACCTCCAGGGACGGGACGCCCGGCCCCGTGGGCTGGGGGTACTCGCGCAGCAGCCGCTCCTCATCCAGGAACTTGCCATCACGCCCATTGCTGGCTGGCTGGAACAGCCCGTAGTTCAGAACATCCTTCAAACCCTGATTCAGTGTGCACAGGATTCGCTGCTTCGCCACCCACACTGTGGCATCCGGGTTGAAGCGGATGCATTTCTGTAGGGAAACAGGAGGACACCAGAGTCACCCACTGAGCACAGGTCAGAGTCTAAGTGGTCCCCACTCCTTCCCACTGGGTATTCTAAGCAGACTTTGGGACCCCCAGGCTTTGACAGCTACAAAATGAAGTCAGCTGGTTGCTTGGACAAAGACATTCGGCAAATGTAAACGGAAAGTCAAGATTGAAGTGTTGGTGTTGGTCTCTGCTCCCAACTTTCATTCTGGACTCAATGCTGCCACCACCCACAACCTGCAGGTATTTTCTGCTTGTGAATAGCAGCCTACACCCCAAAGGAAGGACAGCCAGCTAGGAAAACACGAGGTTTGACCAAACCCAAGGCTGGAGCACTTCTCCACAGGGCACTGCTCGGTGGTTGCTTCCGGGACAGGATGAAGAGGCCTGGTGCCTTCCCAACAGGTAGCTATGGGGGCAGCTTCCCATGATGGATTAAGTGATATGCTGTCAATCAGGAGAGCAGCTCCTGCAGCCAGCCTATCTGGCTGCCCAGGGAATGTGACACCCTGCATGGGAATGAGCTACCTGCTCCTTCCCAGTGACACAGGCTGAACTGCATGTGACCTTCTTCCAAGCTCACCAGCTAAAGCAGGGCCATCTGCTTCCACCAGTAGGAAAGTCTTGTCACAAGTCATGTCCCATCCTCACTGGGTGAGAACTCTTTGGAAATCTCAGCATATTGAGGGTGTGATATCAGATATATCCAGGCGAGGTCACCCAAAACCCACTGGTTCAGGAATCATTTTGGGCCTCAGGTTCTAGTGACAAGGACACCTCGACTCTGGTTCCCTTGGATACTAACATCTACAGAAACCTGAGGCCCCTTCCAGCAGCTGACAAGTGCTGGAAAAGCATGGAGCTGAACCACTTCCCAGGGGACGTGTGTGTCACTATGGTAACACGAAGACTGGTGTCCACAGTCACTGGGTGTGCATGGCTGGAGGGTATCAAGTGTTCCCAAGAACTATCCCTGCACAGCAAAGAACCAACCTGCTTGGAAGAGCACCTTTTGCATCCCACAGAGAAACTTTTGGGAGAGCAAAAGTTCAGAGGTCAGAATGGCTTGGGTCTGCATCCCAACCATGCACAATGACCTTGCACTCCTGGGCAAACCTGCCAGCCCAGCAGTCCCTCTGCTTCCTCAGTGAAGATCATGGCTTTGACTTGCCCTGCAGGGCTGCTGCAAGGCTTGGTTGTTGAGGGCTGAACTATAACCTGGAAAAATGGTGTCTTCACAACTTTTCACCCCAAGAGTTACATCTACTGGGAAATGGGGCTTTTACAAATAGGATCTTTAAAATGAGATTGGTTAAAGCTGGGTGGACTTAAAGCAAAGACCACGTTTTCATGCAAGTGGAAAAGCAGATACAGCAGCAGTGCACAGGGAGGTGACTGAAGGGCAATGCAGGCAGAGTCAGGCAATGTTCCTGCTGTAAGCCAGGAAGCACAAAAGATGGCCAGCAACTTCCAGAAGCTGGAGAGAGTCCTGGGACATATCCTCCCTCCTAGCATCCAGAAAATAAATCTTGATCTTGAACTTCTAGCCCCATAAGTATAAGATGACATATGTCTCCTGGTTAAGCCACCCAGCACACGATTATGGCACCCAGGAACTAATCAAAAGGCAAAGCACCTGCTGCTGATCACAGCAACAGAAAGCTGCAGGAGCTTGTACCTGAGACAGGACCTCAGCTGGATGAGGGCTCAGTGCCTAGGGGATCCCTCTCCTTATGTGGTGGGCATTGGCACCTGTGCAAACTAGAAGCAAAGAAAGTTCAGAAGAGAACTTTTCAGGATCACTCTGGACAAACTGGGTATTACTTACATTTCTCATTGCTAAGACAAAATACCCAACATTCAAAGTTAAAAAGGGACAGGTTTATTTAGCTCATGGTTTGCAGAGGTTTCAGTCCATAATGAATTGGCTACAAGGCAGGGTGGCTTCACAGAGGAGAGTAGTTCATGGCTGGAAGAAGGTAGCAAAGCAACAAGGGGAAAGACAAACCTCTTTTTGCGCCTTATTTTGTATCCAGGCTACTGGGATTAGGGTGGTGCCAAACCAATCAGTGGACTGATTTAGGAATCACTCACCCTTAAGCCTAGCACCCTTTATCCTAGCATTATACCATGAATCAATCACACACTCTAGGTTCAGCTACCTGTGAAAAAGCCCCATGTATGATTACATTAGGCTTTGGGGGACATCTAAATGCAAGCCATAACACCCTATGTCACCTCTTACCCATCACTGACTCTGCCCACTGATTAGGCAAACCCAGTTGCAAGAACAGTCCTGACACAGCTTTAGGATGAAGGAATAAATGAATGAGTAAGTGCCTGGAGCCACAGAAACATAATGAGCAAACCAGTCCTAGACTGCTACTTATAGTGTCTGACAGTACGGCAAAGGCAAACATTAATGCTAAGACAGACTTTCCTGGCAACTAGAGGAGAGAGCAGGGGCTGCAGTTGATGGTGCATGCTCACCATACATCTGTCCAGGGACAGCCATGGTCCGGGGACCATGTGAGTTGGGGTGGGATTTCCAGAGGGAGACCCATGTAAGGAAAGGTGGGGAGGAAAATGTAGAATGGAGACAGGACAGGCAGGTTTCCTTGTCCTTCTGGTACCAACAAATGAAGGAACACTCCTGTGTCTCTCCCCATCCGCTGCAGTCCTGAGATGGCTGTTCCTTTACAACGTGTTAGAGATGTCCTACAAGGGAGAATGGTTGGCTGGGAGGCTTGGAGAGACAGCAGAGGCCGACAAGCTCAGGAACCCCGTTCCCTGCCAGTCAAGGGGTCACTTGAGGAAACCCCCTCTGTCCTCAAGCCTTTGCTGGCCTTCTCCATGTGGGTCCTTGATTGACCCCATTAGGAGTGAACAGAGGACATGAAGATGCCCAGCATGGGGTCTCATCCCACGGGGAGGCTCAGGTTCTAGTGGGAAATGACAGTAAACATGATGGAGATGACTGTGGTCATGGTGATGGTGACGGTGGTGGTGATGATGATGGTAGAGGGTGGTGATAATGATAAACACAACAACAGTGACGGTGACACCATGACAGAGCCATGGTTAACACTGAACCCTAGCAAATCAGAAATTGTACTGACTTACTCACCTTTGGCCAACCACAAAGCATATTATTTTTATTAAAATATTATTATTATTATTCCCATTTTCCAGATGAGGAAAGTGAGCCTCAGAACCCTAGAAAGTAGAGGAGGTCCAATTCAAATCCAAGTCTGATCTGCCCAGAGCCTTAGACATCACTAACCAATGTGTTATATTCCTCTCTAGGCACATGCGGTCAACTTCAGGGTGGGCAAAATATTGTGACAGCCACTGAGAAAATGGAGGAGGATATTTATGTTCAGGTTGGAGAAATACTGTCCTTGTTCAGACTTCCCCTTAGTAACTTGCCCTAAGGTTGAGCATTTGCGCACTCCCAGAGGACCTAGCTTGATCCCCATAACAACAGACAAAATTTGGGAGATTAATTTTTTTCAAAAGAAGTATAATCTAGTCTCCAAAGTGGCATTTAAAAACAAGAATGAAGTAGCAAAGGATGAGGCACACTAGTGGTGGGTCAGGACGCTTGGCACAGTCACACAGACGTCTGACCTGTTGGCGTCTCTCTCACAGACACAGAAGACAGTCCCACAACATGGTGTCCCTCAGCGAAACACTGGACCCTGAGGCATCAGGACAGAAGAAAACTCTCGGAAGTACAAGTAACAGAGCAAAGACTTTCACCCCAGCAAAACTTCACAAGACCAAAATAAATCTTGGAATAAGTGCCGAGTTCTATTATCTAAGTGTGTCTCTAATCAGGTAGCTCCAGACAAAGGCTCACGCTGTCCTTAAACCTCCAGGGTTAGAACAGACCATTATGGGGGAACTAGATGCCAGCCACCACATGAGTAGTGAGAGAATTAACCATCTGCTGTGACACCAAGTGCAACATGTGATCTTATCCCAAGGCAGGACCCTTCCCACACTCTATCTGGCTTCTTGCTGTCCCCGTCATCCTCAGGCCTTGCCCCCAGTAACCACAACTGGCTACCAAGACCAAAGGATGCTTCCAGCCCACCCGGTGCTCTGCCTCTTCTTCAGTCTAGTTTAACTTATGGCCTCAAGAACGGATCATGGGTCCCCACCTCTACCAACAGACCACTGCACTTTCTAACTGGAGTCACAAGTATCTCCCACCAAGACACATCCTCTTCCCCTCTCCCTCTCTAATGACCATGACATTCAGCTGGCTTGAGTTTCCCCCTATTCCAGGCTGAGGCACCCAGGGATAAGGGTGACTTGACACATCCCTTTTTTTCTAACACCATTCCTAAAGCTGGTAAACACTGCTAGAATTGAACTGCACTAGATAAAACATGTCCAAAACAGAATACTCCTGGATCCAGGGTTAAAGAAAGGTCTGGATTTTTAACACTGGGGATGAAGGGAGCTACCATTCACAGAAGACCAAGTGTAACGTGAACATGTTATCTTGTTCAGTTATAGCAGAGCTCCCAAGAATGGAGACATCACCATCAGTGTCCACAGCTGTAAAGAAATCAAACTAGGGTTGGCCATGTTGCTAAATGGAGAGAAACGCCAGCCCCTGCATCAGTAAAGAACATGGGCAAACTCAAACTGAAAATGGAGAGCGCAAGAGAAACTCGTTCTCTTATTTGGTCAACATGCATTTGTAAGTCTGCTGCAAGATGTGAGCTAGAAATTGGAAATACCCAGACAGTGGGGAAGACTAGGGGCAGAAGAGGTAACTGTTTGCCTGGCTCTGCCACATGGGCTGAGTGCAGGACTCTGCCAGATCACCATGACAAAGCACTATCCTGAGGCCACAGGTCAAAGTGTGGCTTGGCTTTGCAAGGTTAAGGAGTTATAAACACTCATCTTTGAGAAATCCTGCCCCAAAACACCTGGCGTGTGAATCCCACAGACCTCTTAGTTTACATTG